TTACCTTATGAGTATTTATAGGACTAGTATCTCATTCTGAAGAGGCTTCGTTGTTGGATTTGTTAATATATTTTATTCAAAAAAATTAAAAAAGTCTCTCAATAGTTTGGCAAGACTTAAAAATAATCTTCTAATAGTTTAGAGGATAAAAATTATTTTTTTTATTTTTATTTTTTGAAAAATTGATTTATGAAATTTTTCAATAGTTTGGTGGATTCCATTTTAAAAATTAAATCTATGAAAATTTCTCGATAGTTTGGTGGAATTCATGAACTTATTTTGTAAAGATTTTTATTTGAAAAAGATTTTTTTTAATTTTTTATTGAAAATATTTTTTTTATAAATATTTTTTGAAAACTTAAAAAGATTTTTTTACTATATTTTTTTATTATTTTGAAAACTTTATTTGAAAAGATTTTTTTATTTGAAAATTTTTTTTATAGAATATTTTCTTTTAAAAAAAAACTCATTTATTTTCAGAAATAAAATAACATAAATAAAATTCCTTAAAAATAAAACAAAAAAAGATTTATTAAAAAATAAAATGAATTAAAAAAGTAAAATAAAATAAAATCAAAAAATAAAAATAAAATAAAATGAAAAAAAGAAAACATACGATCAAGTTGGATTAATACACAGTTCATTGAGTTAGAGTGTAAATCCTAGGCTACCAAAATGCTACTGTTTTGGGGAAGTATAAAAGCGAGTTTTTAACGGTTTTATCCCAGATGCCTCTGTTCTCTCTTTCTCTAAAACCCCAAATGCTCTATCTTCTTCTAAAACCTAGTCGAGATCCCACCGAAAACTAGAAATCCTTGCTAGTTTCTGGAAAATCTCATAAAAAATTTCATATTCCATTGGGAAAACTTATTGAAAAATTCATATCCCACCGAAAAATTCATTGAAAAATTCAAACATTCAAACTTCAAACCCAGTTTTCCAAAAAAAAAAAAAAAACCCAAAAATTTCTCATTTTTTTTCAAATCCTCTCTAAAATCTTTCGAAACTTAATTTAAACCCAAAATCTTTAAATCTCACCCAGAAACCCCAAATTAATCTTAGAATCCCAGAAACCTAGTACTACCTAGAACACCCAGTTCCCAGTTCATTCAAGTTGACTGTGTCCCCTCTAAAATTTGTTCTCCCCTATTCTCTAATGTTATTTTGACTTATAGGCACCCTTAGAACAAATTTAGGAAACGGACAGAATCAATTCAAGTTTGAATCCTGATATTTGATTTTGTCTGAACCTCAACATATATCTAGGTTCATTGTTGATTGAAAAAAATTCCTTGATTTGAGGTCTGATTGACCCTTTGACAGAATTTAATTCTCAATTTCAGTTATTCAATTTGTAGTTAGAAAGAAAGGAAAGAAAAATAAATAATAATAATAATAATAATAATAATAATAATAAATGTAATATAATACCATATATTATACTAATAACAATAATAGTAATAATAATATAATACTATAATATAACCAAAATAATAAAAACAGTCCAATTGACCTCAAACATTATCCAATCAACCCTGAACATAAATGGGTGTCTACAATGATTATTCTTATTGCCAATTTTGTTGGTAAATGATCATTTCAATTTGACAAAAATAGATTTGTTAGATTTTTTTCTAATAAGTCAAATCATGTGAACTCTTTCAATACTAGTTTTTACATGTGTATCCTTACAAATCAATAATTTGTAGCCAAGGTTATTTGTTAGTTTTGTGACAAAACATGTTACTCAACTAAAGTCTTCTTAGCCTATGTCAAATTATGTTATTGCAGTAAAGAAAATGATCATATCTGGTTGGTTGATGGTAAAGCCTCTTATCATGTCACTCACACACTTCAAAATTTATCTTTTCATTTTGTAAAAGATGGTATTGGTGAACCATTTATAAGTGATGAAACAAGTTTACTAATCAATCGCTTTGGTTCTACCTTTATCCGTTCTTTTTCAAATTCTTTTGAATGAATAATGTTCACGTTCTTGCTGCATATAAAAATCTCATTTAAGTTTGTTAAAGTGGTGTTATCCCACATTCTATAGTCTTATATTCAAGTTAGACCCCTCCACTTACAACCAATTGATTTTAAGTTGAATGCTTAATATAGTATTAGAGCCAGGATTTTCTTTTATTGCCCTTTCAAAATCTGTCATGTAGTAGACTTCTTCCATCTCTAATTACACGTTATGAGAGTTTGTTAAAGTGGGTCATCCCACATTTAATAAATTTTTAATATCCTGTAGCTTTATATTTAGGTTAACTTAAAACTAATTGGTAGTAAGTTAGATGTTTAACATGGTGTTAGAACTAATATTTCTCTCTGTTATCCTTTTCAAATTTGTCATATAGTAGGTTTCTTTCGTATTCACCTACACGTGATGAGGGTTTATTAGTGTAGTGTTATCTTACATCTAATAATATCAAATTTCCTATAATCTTTTATTTAAGTTGGACCTCTTCACTTACTATCGATTAGTTTTAAGTTAGATGCTTAACATGGTATTAGAATTAGGATTTTCTTTCATTGCTCTTTCTTGATTTATCACATGAAATGTTTCTTTCATCTTCGCTTATACGTGATGGGGGCCTGTTAAAATAGATTATTTCACATCTAATAAATTTTTAATAATAAGATTAAAATATGTTAAAAATTTATTAGATATGGGATAACCCATTTTAACAAAGTTTCCAAAATTTATCGTTCTAACTCCATTTTTGTTGGATTTTTTTTTTATTTCTTGGTTAATGATCCTAGCACAAATTAGCCTATCGTTTAAGGCCATATTAAATATGGTGTTTATGAATTCCAAGCCTCTTAACCATTAATTTAAACCCTTGTTTTGACTTTGGTTGGTCTTAAGACAATTATTTTGTTTAGCATTTAAGGTTGGGTCATCTTTTTTTTAGATTAGGAATGTAATCAAGTTGAACCGAATTGATATAATGAGAAGCTCAAGCTCAAGTCAAAATTTACTATTCAAAACTTGGCTCAAATTCAATCAAATTTTAATTTTCAAGCTCAAATTTGACTTAAGATAAAAATTAAGTTGCTTGAGCATGCTCAATTATGCTCATTTAATAAAATGAGCTTGGTTCTTATGTTCAATTTGAAACGAGAATTGATATATATATATATATATATATATGGGAAAAGTAGTAATTTTTAATTAAAGTAATAAAAATATATTAAAATTGAAAAACTTGATTAAGCTCGCAAGTTACTTGAACTAGACATTAGACTTGCTCGATAAATCAAAAACTGAACCAAATTAAAATTTTATCCGAATCAAACACAAGTAGCATACATGTATTGATATATTATTTCCACCCATATTTCATACGCTTAAAATCTATTTTAAAGTCATTATTTTTACCTTGCTATTCTTTTAAGATAGTTAATACATGTGACTCATCTTGCAATATTAAGAATCATAGACTTCCATTCTCAATTTATAGTCATGTTAACAAATGATCTTTGAATTTAATTTACACTGATATTTGGAGCTCTACTAAAGTAATTTTTATTGATGGCTTTAGATATTATGTTGTTTATATAGATCACTATATTAGATATATTCAGCTTTATTTTATGCGTAATAAAATTGATATCTATGATTTATTTCCTTTTTTTTTAAATTCCCATTCTACCCATAAATTTCATGCTCTATTACTTACCTCGCTGAAGATGACATTATACACATAAGTTCTCTTAAATTTGTAATCTCCAAATGCCAACTTAAATAACATACCGACTGATTTAAGGGATAGTCGACTCTTATAATTTGTTTCCTAAGTTCAAATCCATTGTTGAAACCTATTTCAAAACATCAATTGTTTTAATTTATTTTGATTGTGGTGGTGAGTACAACAAACTTAATATATTCTTTAACTTGTGTGGCATGCTATATTTACAAACTCCTCCTTATACCCTTTAATATATTGTAATAGTTGAAAGAATGCATAGAAGCATTGTTGAAACTAGATTTATGCTTTTGCATCAACATTTTATGCCAATTGCATATTGACTATTTACATTTTCTACTGCTACTTATTATTTTAAAAGAAGACAAATCTCCTTTTGAGTTTTTGCTTAACTAGTCACCAAATTATGAAAATTTGTAAGCATTTGGTTGTTTAGACTACTCTATTTAAAACCTTATACCCCTTGCAAATTAGAATCAAAGTCTAAACTTTTTGTCTTTTTTGAGTATTTGAAGTACTCAAATCGATAAAATTTTTAGCTCGAGATATATGTTGTTTAATGAAAGTCAATTTCCCTTTGCTAAACTATATGGATTTCACATGAAATTTTTTCTAAATATTGTCTTGCTTTTGAAATTCCAAATACATTTTTGTCATTAAAAATCTTTATTTATTGATAGATTTTTTTATGAAAAAAGAGAGTTATGATTTGCATAATCTTCTTTTATATTTTTAGCATAAAACAATAAATTCATTTACTAATTAACTAATTTAGAAAACAAAAACCAATAATATCATTAAATATAAGAGTCTTCATCTGACGATTCATATATTTTTATTATGTAAAATATTAAAATTTATGTATTCGTACCATTTTTATATGAAAATTATGTGTCATAATTCATGTCGATATGAAAATATAAAATATAATTGTTTTTATTTTGTTAAATCCATATATAGTTATTACTATAAATTTAAGCTATGTCACCTTCGTGTTTTATTTTTGCATCATATTCATGTTGTGTTTTAGATTACTAGGTTTAGTCTTCATCTGTAAAAATTATAATGGTTTTTTTAATAAAAAAAAGATAAAAATAAAAAACATACATAAAAATAATGTGTAAAAACTTAAACTTGAGCCCAACCCACCATGTCAATTATATAATATTTTCTTAATAAAAATTTTAAAATTATTTTTTAAAACTATGTTTAAAAATATTAATATTTTAAAAAATAAAATATATTAAAATAATATATATTGTTAATGCTAATAATATTCTCAAACTCAAGCAGTCAAGATACATACTTGAGCAAATGGGTAGGCCCAAGACTACAGCGTATTCAGGACTTCTCTTCGGCCGAAACCCAAAATACCCTTCAAAGTTTTGCCGCCAAACTAAAGCTTAACTCTTCTTCAGTCTTCCCTCTCTTTTCCGATTTCTCAGAGGGTTTCAGCACAGACTCATTGCAGGTTCAATGGCTTCGAACATTCCTCTCCATGTCATCGACGAAGACGACGGCGACCAAGACGTAACCCTACTGTCACTCTCTTTCCCTTTTGTTTTTGTATTAGTGATTCTTGTTTAATTGACTTCGGTGGGTATTGCTTTGTTTTAATTTCAACGTAGGAGTTTGATTGGGAAGCTGCGGTTAGAGAAATCGACAAGGCATGTGAAAACGCAAACTCTTCTTCCCATTTTGCCCCTTCTCCTCCTTTACCACAATTTTCTAAGAAAAACACTTCAAGGCAATCCACGCTCGACCGATTTATTGGGAAGGTGGGACCCAGGCTTTCTTATGATAATCACCGGACGATTGAGGTTGAGGTTGATGTTGGTGTTGAGGCTGAGGAGAGGGTGTCACCCGTTCACATTGATGCTGATGCAGCTAAAACTTGGATTTACCCGGGTTATTATTTATTTCTTAAATTTGTTTTTTATTTTTATTTTCGTGTTGGGCCAATGAGTATTTTGGCAACCAAATTTTGATTCTTTTGTGTCGTTATTGGGGAACCAATTGGTAACTTAGGTAACAGATTATGCAGGTTTTGTCAATACATACATACATACACACACATTGTATATATGTGTATGTATATATTTCTTTGGTGATTTAGCAAATATTGGTAGTTGGGAATCTATTAAACCGTGAATGATTTTATTGCATTTCGATGAAGTAATTTTGTTAGCATACCTTTTTCCGTGTTTCCAATTGTTTTGGGTTAAATTTAACAGTCTTAGTAGCAATTCTTTATACATACATATATATATATATTTATATGTTGGTTTGATGTTGGTGCACCCTGCAATTGCATAGGAGGATATTTGGTGATTTGTCAAATGTTTTGCACAAAAGAAATTCATATTCTTTTGTACTGATTGCTGAGGCAATGGATTAGCTTTCTTCAAAGGCCGATCTGACTATTATTATTTCATTATTTTTGTAGTGGCTTGTATCTCAATTGTTGCATTAAATAGTAGTGTTGAAATAACTGAGTATATGTATGTTACAATGAGGATAAAGGATCAAGAATTTGTTTTTAAGTATCCATTAAGTATTTTTAAGTTACATTCTTTCCTTTGTGTTAGTGCAGTTAATGTCCCTCTTCGTGACTATCAACTTGCAATAACCAAGACAGCATTATTTTCAAATACATTAGTGGCATTGCCAACAGGCCTCGGTAAAACGCTTATTGCTGCAGTTGTAATTTATAACTATTTCAGATGGTTTCCAGATGGTAAGAATTTATGTCATGGGCATTATATAACTTTACTACTAAAATCTCATCAAAATTTATAAATGCTTTAGTGGTTGAATAATTTTTTAGGCTGATATCTATGTTTTAGGTGAATAGCTCAACAGGCTCCCTGTCTGTTGCAAAAAGTGTTATTGGACATGGTAAATAAGCATTGCTAGATGTGTAGGAATCTGAGAAGCAATATGCTAACGATGATATATGGTATCTTTACTTCTTACCTTGCTGTTGTTATGCTGCATAATATCCAGCCTGAGTCAACACGTAATCTATTGACTTTTATATGATCTTCATAACCTGCACATTCATAATCATTTGAATGACAAAGCTTTGCTGATTAAAAGAGGGATTTAGCCATCGTGAAACTTTGGCCAGTGATTTTCCATTTATTTTGATGCTAGATTCTCTCATCTAGCATCATATGGAGGTTCTTTCTGAGCTTCTCCAATGGTTTTGTTACCTGTTTTAATGTTGATTAGAAAGGGAAAATATGGCTGTATCTCCTCCTCTCTTGCTTTTGCTTCTCCCTTAGGTATGTCATTTATCAAAATATGTTCTTAGATTATGTGATTTTTGGACTTTAAGTTTCTATATTCTTATCAATTCTCAGACTAAGAACAGCAGAGTTTCCAAACGTTGGGTTGGCACTGCTTTCTCATGTTTCATGCACAACTGGTTGGTGATTTTGCGTGCAACTGATTTATGATAATGTAGATGCATTTCTAATGGAAAAATTCCTTTCTTTGTAAATTTCTCCAGTTCAGTATGGAACTTAATTTGTGAATTATTAGTTTTCCCTGATTCCTCTTTGCATGGAAGTAAATTCATTTTTTTTTTTAATATTTTGCTTCATATTACAACATGGTTGACATCCTTGTTCATAATAGTTAAGAATTGATAATTAGTTAAATGAGAAATCTAGGTTCCTAATTCTTATATAGAGTCTGATGTATAATGTTTTCTTACTATTTTAGTATTTATTGCCTTAATGTTTATTTACCTTTAGAATGATGTATAGCTTTTTCAATTAGTTTTGCAAAATGAAACAGGATATGTCCTTAAACTGCAGATGTTTAAATTTAGTTCCAAATGATATCATTAACCATAAAACTATGATGGCTATTTTTCTTCTTTGACAGGGAAGATAGTGTTTGCTGCTCCTTCTCGACCACTTGTCATGCAGCAAATAGAAGCATGTCATAATATTGTTGGAATTGCACAAGTAAGACAGTGTTTCTTTTTCCCCTGTTATCAATGCAAGGAATTTATCATCTGTTGGTTTTTTTATTGTGCAGTTTTACAATTATTGACATATTTTGAGATATTTAGATCAAACTGATTGCAGGAATGGACAATTGATATGACAGGTCAGATATGTCCGAGAAAAAGAGCAATCTTTTGGAAGACTAAACGAGTTTTCTTTGTTACTCCTCAAGTTTTGGAGAAGGATATTCAATCTGGTGACTCTCTAAAGTAATTTCATAGCATGTTATGGATGGGTAGCAAACAATTGTGACCTTGTGACTGAGTTTTTTTTTTTTTTTTTAACTTCTGCCATTCTACTTACTGTCCTTCTGGTAACTTCTTTTGCTGGATTTTGCTCATCGAGTAACTTGTTGTAGGCACATGTTTGGCAAAGTACCTCGTGTGTTTGGTGATTGATGAGGCTCATCGATCATTGGGAAATTATTCCTATTGCGTGGCAGTTCGTGAGGTTGTTTCCTCATTTCGTTCTGTAATCCCTCCCTTTGATTTGAGTATGCTGTTGGTTGCAACATTTATGGAGCTAGGTATTAAAGATGCTAGTGATACTCTAAATTTGTAGTTAATGTCCATGCAAGTGCAGCTGAGAATATTAGCTTTGACTGCAACACCAGGATGTAAGTTACAATTGTCTTCTTCTTGTGTTTCAAAAATTTCACATAACCTTAAATGCTTACATTGATTGCTGTTATTCAGCAAAGCAGCCCGCTATCCAGCAAATAATTGACAACTTATATATATCTACACTTGAATATCGCAATGAAAGTGACCATGATGTTAGTCCATATGTTCACAACAGAAAGCTAGAACTGATTGAGGTATCTGAAAATTTGTCTCTCTTAAATTTTGTTGTTTATTATTCCTAATAAAATTAACATATTCCTTGCAATATTTCTAGGTTCCACTGGGTCGAGATGCGGCTGAGGTAAATAATCAGTTGTTAGAAGTAATTCGTCCTTATGTGGCCAGGCTTCATGCAGTTGGACTTATTCAGAACAGGGACTATCAGACTGTATGGTTCCACATATGCTATAATTCTTGGTTCTTTTTAAAAATTCATCTTCACTGCATCTTTTAGCTTATTCAGCTTTTCAGTCTAAGCCCTTACATGGGTGTACTTGTTAGAACTTTAGAAACTTTCAGCTTGCTGCCAAATGAAAAGAGGCTACTAATTGCCATGCTATGAAAATTTAATCCAATATAAAAAGTTCATTATTCACTTTTGGAGGCAACATTTCTTAAAACAATTTGGGACAAGAAGCAAGGGAAAATAGTTGATGCTGAATGCTAACGACACATGAGGTTCTTAGAACTGGAACTATCTTTCTAGGACTTGAGTATCGCAAGAACATGCTTGGTTTTTTTTTTTTTTATTGCATTGCTTGGATATAATTTCTGTGAATTTTCTGCAATTTCTATTTTTGTCTGAATATAAAACATCCCATTGTCTATATCTATTACTTAACTCTCTGAAGGAATGGTATAACATTGAGGTTGATTTTTTGAACCTTCTTAGTTGTTGATTTATAAGCTTGAAAGTTATATAGCTATCACTCTGATTTCCTACTATTGTAGTGGGGGTTGTCCTATCATTCTTATTTCCAATTTACATTTCCATTTGATAGTTAAGCCCGGTTGATTTACTTAATTCAAGGGATAAATTTCGTCAAGCACCTCCCCCGGATCTTCCACATGTTAAGCATGGAGAAGTTGAAGCATATTTTGCAGTTCTTATTACACTTTACCACATACGGAAGCTGCTTTCAAGCCATGGAATAAGACCTGCATATGAGATGCTGGAGGAAAAGTTGCGACAAGGGTATGTGTTTGATCACTTTCCTTTCAGCAATATGAAGAATTAGATGCATATTTTACTCACTAGATAACCAACCTTGAACTCTTTAGACTATACTCTCTTTAGTAAATTGCTTCTGAAGACAGAAAAAAATAGTATTCAATACCAAATGAGTGTTATCTGTTTCTTTGAGAACCAAAAATTGCTTTCTGATCAGAGTTTATGTTGGTAACTGTTTTCTGATAACTACAGATAAGTAGGATTTGCTGGCAGATAATATTAACAGTGTTTTAAGATTTAACTTTTTAACATTTCTTTTATTTATTCTTTTAAATCAAAAGGCCGGAAGCACCATTAGCCAATGGTAGATAGCAGAAATGTAGCGTTGATTTATTACAGAATTCTGCTAATTGTTATTGGAGTTGAACCACTGATGTGTAGATGCAGACAGACATACACAATGCATGTTATATATGATTGAATCTACTTTTATGTCCACTATTATGTCAACCAGACGTCTTCCAACACTGTATTAAGGCATTCAGAATTGATTGTTGCAGGCATTTTTCAAGATTGATGAGTAAAAATGAAGATATAATGAAAGCAAAGCTTTTAATGCAACGGAGTTTGTCTCATGGTGCACCAAGTCCAAAATTGTCGAAAATGTTAGAAGTACTGATTAACCATTTCCGTATGTCATCTGCTATTTAAATTATAATCCCGCATGTGGTGGTTTTGATTTGCCTCTCTTTCCTGAATCTTGCTGCTATTTTGATTAGCCTATTTCTTAGGGATGCTAGAAACTTGAATTTCAAATAACTGATAAATTGGAGTCATTTTATGTATAGAGTTGTGCTACTGCTTGTGAGCGAATGAGGCTTTGCAATACAAACTGTAGTTTGTTTTGACTTTTAACATTTTGCTTTTGAATTTTAATTTAAGGAAAAAAAAATAATTCTCTTCATTTAAGACTTGAAAGATTACTTATTCTTGTCAAATTGGTGATAGGTACTCAAGTTTTGACTCACTTTGATACTTTCATGATGGTTCACATAAATCTTTTAAGTTTTGTTATCTCAACTCTGTAAAATAGGAAATGAGCATTAGAAAAGGATAGTAAAAAGTTGAGGTAGGTCAGTCATTAGAATTCTGCCTACTTTTAGTTTATAGTGGGCTAGGGTTGGAATTTGGGATTTTAGGCATATGGCTCAGGTAGGATATGGTAGATGGAAATTAGAGTTTGATTCAATTGAGATTGCAGCTAAAAGAGAGTGCTGGGATCTATGGGGAAGTTTGCCGGAATTTTTGTCCAGCAGCAAAACTAGAAGAAAGAAAGTTTTTGGGTGCTGTCCTCCTGCTACAAAGAGTTATTCAGGAACACTATAGCAAGAGACAATTCAATGGATAGAAGCACAAATACTGCCTGTCATCCATGATTCCATAAACCTAAATACTCATAATTTTGTTGATAAAAAACATTAAAATAAATAAAGATAGGTCCTATACTACTAAACCTACAAAGATGAGGATTCTTGATTGGAAGCTAACTGGCAGACAAGTGAATAACCAACTTGGACTCCAAAAACAAACCTAATTCCTAGAATAATCTAAACTTAACCCTATGATGTAGATGTGCAGAAACTATGATTCTGAATTGCTAATACAGAAATTAGAAATATGAAAGAAACAAAGTTTGGTCTTGCTATGAACACAGTGAGAAACTATAGGCCATACTGTGTTATTTATCATTAACCTTGTGATTTTGATGGTCAGATCTTGTATTTTTTTGCAGAGAACATCTTCAAGCTTTAAGAAAATAAAATTATTAAGCTTTTAGTTTAAAAAGTCCTTGGTTCTCAGTCTTGCTACCAGTTACTGTATCAACTTGTCATGATGAAGCATGGGAAATCTAGCTCTTTTTGGTTGGATTCTCTTTCAAGTTGCTCTAAATAGCTTTGCCATTTGATCCTGACCCCTATTAGGAATTCCACAATGGAGAAATGTATACTAAAAAATTCATCCATTTAAATCCCTTTTATCATCATGGTTAGGGTTTTTGAAGATTTTTATTATTGATGGTAGAGAATTTCATTTCTATAATGTGGATGATATTTAGCACCAATATTTGATGCATAAGAAGTTTCTTAAAAAGACTTTATGATCAGAGTGAAGCTTTAATCACAAATCTAGTACACAATTTAAGTTCTTTTTTTTTTTTAATAATTTTATATTTATTTCTATATATGTTGCAGAAACAAAAGATCCACAAGACTCCAGGGTGATTATCTTCTCAAATTTTAGAGGAAGTGTCAGGTATATTCTTCTTGTTTGTGACACTTTCTGTGTATACTATCTTACCATCCCTTGGTATAATTAAACTTGATTTTAGGGACATAATGAATGCATTAGCAAATATTGGAGATTTAGTCAAAGCAACAGAGTTTATCGGTCAAAGCTCAGGTTTGCTGTTTTGTTTTTCTACCTTTTCCAATTGAGTATGCTTCATCCATAATAAACATTATTGTTTAAGTATAAATTCTACAATTCTAGAATCATTTGAAGCATCTAGCTCAAGATGCAAATTTTTTTATGTAATGGTTGAATCAATGTTAAATGGCATTGGTTAAGTTTGAGGTTTGCTGGATCCTAATATTCTGGTCATATCCCTCCACTTGCTGCAGATTATTTTAAGTTGGATGTTTTATTATGGTTATTACGGCTAAGGTTATTTGTTGTTTGTTGTGTCGTATTCATTGTCTACAGAATTAGCCTTCTGTTTGTCTAGTTATTTGTATTGGGCCTACAAGTGAAAGGGAGTATAAAGTGGTTTTATCTTAGATTGGTTAATTATAAGGTTTCTTGGGTCCTTATGTTTGGGTGACCTCTCCACCTATTGTTAATTGGTTTTTCGTTGAATGCCTAAAAATCAAACTTGAAGTTAACCATAGTCTCTTACAGGGAAAGCATTGAAAGGCCAGTCTCAAAAAGTTCAACAGGCAGTTTTGGAGGTAATTATGTTAATTTTAGTAATTCTTTTGGCTGATTTTCTCATTTCCAGTACTTGGCTTATTATGTTTAACAACAGAAATTTCGAGCTGGTGGCTACAATGCTATTGTTGCCACATCAATTGGTGAAGAAGGCCTGGATATCATGGAAGTTGATCTTGTAATATGTTTTGATGCAAATGTTTCACCTTTGAGGATGATTCAGCGGATGGGGAGAACCGGAAGGAAGCATGATGGACGAGTTGATATCCTTTTGTTGTTTCATGATGCATGTTAAAAACTGAGTGGTTTTAGAGTTTAGTATTCGCATGATACAGCAAAAATTTGTCTCTTTCTACTTTTCGATTTGATGGCTCTAAAAATCTCTCCCCTCCCCACCCTCCCCCCCCAAAAAAAAAGAAAAAAAATATGAATGCTTATAATTCAAGTGCTTTCTTACAAGTCATACTAGTTCTAGCCTGTCAAGGGTCAGAGTTAAAGGGCTATATGCGAAAGCAAGCCAACAGCCGGTCTATAAATAAACACATGCAAAATGGGGGAATGACTAGCTTCAATTTCCATTCCAGTCCAAGAATGGTGAGAACTATCTAAAGACAGATGGTTATGTTTTCTTGTTGCTCCAACTGCTATCTTATGACCCTTATATTATTTACCTTCTATCTGTAGATTCCTCACATCTTCAAACCAGTAGTCCAATTTGTTGAGCTCTCGATTGAACAATTTGTTCCTCGTGGAAAAAAAGTGAAAGATGATCATGTTATTGAGACACCTTCTTTCAGGGAAAAATTAACTGTTGCAGAGACTGATTTAATTGCCAAGTATTTCCATCCTACCAGTGAGAGCACTTGGCGACCTTCACTGATTGCCTTTCCTAGCTTCCAAGCATTTCCCTCCAAAGTATGTAAAGTAATGCATTCTTGTAGAACAGAGATGCTGATAGATTCCATGCAATATTTGCAAGGCTTAACGTTTCCGGGAGGCAATGGGAATTTATTTGTTGAGGTTCACACTTGAACTTTGTTCTGGAACTGTTTTCCTTTCAATATAACTTCAATCTTGCTTATTTATTTATCTGATGGATTCAGGATGAAGTTTCTTTAGGTGATTGCTTTGGAGCTGGCATTATTGAGCAACAAGACAGTCATAGCAAAGGTAATATTGTCTTTAGCAGCCTGAAAGGTTTTCTTGACAAATTTGTCTTTTAGAATGCTTATGTGGTAAGCTAAGTTTGAGTAATTTTAGACTAAAATGTTTATATGTTTTGCTGGAAACCTAGTTTTGAGATAGGAAGCATTCTTTAGTTGCTCTTTTTTCTTTTTCTCCTTCTTTGAGAAGGAGAAACTTGCTCCAATTCAGTGATGAAACTAGGGCATAAATTCAATATTTTGTTCCCTTGCTTTCTTTTTTCTCTTAGTTTGTGACAAAAAACATTTAGCAAAAGTTATGGATACAAATATGTCAATAAATAGTAATGTAAAATTTGAGATACCTTTTTAAATAAATAGGCTTTCTTACTTATCGTGGAATCTTTTTGCATTTCCTTATCCCCATCATATATTTCTTAACTCTTATAGGCCATAGGATTGAAGTTATTTTTGAGTCTTAAACCAGGTAGCATACTGATGTGCTGTTGAGAACTTTTCGATATAAACAGTCTTCATCTTTTTTATTCCTCTTTCTTCTTCGTATTTGATTCTATGGTTAAAAAATCCGGATGTTATGAACTATGTTTCCAACCAATTAAAGCTACATCTAGATAACTTTTTGGTCTTAATGTTAAGAAACCTTTTCTTTTTCCTTTACATGGTGGTTGCGTGCCTGTTCCTATCTACTTTTATGAAAGTTACACTAGATATCAATAATTTCACAGCTGAATTCTCATGGTTAACCATTATTCCAGATTTGCTAGTTTTGGATAATTCTCCAACTGCCAATGCTCAATTAGGAGTAACAGATTCTGCAGAATCATCTATGAGGACTTTAAGAACTAAGGAGAAACATAGTAGGCCAGATTCTGGATGCAGAAGTCCCCAAGCACATTCCTACCTATTTGATTCTGATTTTGTCTCTGTTGATGCTCTTGGAAAGGTCCTAATTTTATATGTTCCTTCGCTTTATTTTGAAGATGTAATGCACTCTAAGCATGTAAGTCCGAGCATAAAAGAGTTGCAAAGTTCTTTGAAGCAAGATACTAACCATGTGAAGACTTCAGATGGAATTATGCGAACTGAAGCTGTTCTAAACATAACAGATCAGACAAAAAGCATAAAAGTTGATGCTTTATCGACACCTGGGTTTTGTGAAACTGATTCCGAGAAAGAGACAATGCTAGATGGAGTAGAAAAAATCCCCAAGACTCCAGGTGGCACTTGTGAAATGGCTGACGAAGGTTGCATTGATCTCAGAGATACTGAACTTAGTCCCCGTCTAACTAATTTGATGAAAATAGGCGTTGTTCCAGAGTCTCCTATAACTGATAGTGGTCAGTGGTTGTCCTTACAGTTTTGTATGTTCTTAAGTTTGCTGAGCCGGAGTAACTAATTCTAACCCGATAAACATGGATTTTGCAGGGATTTTAAAGCCGAAAATAAGAAATGAGTCCTTAATTCTAGATGCATCACCTCCCAAATTGTGCACTGAACTGCTTTCAAGATCTTCGAGTCCAGTGGAAAATGAAGGGGGCGTTATGGACAATAGCCCCAGTGAAAGAAAAGTCTCAGTCATGAAATATGAAATGATGCCTTCACTTAAGATGAACCCTGTTTCTAGCACAAGATGTAGCCCTGTTTCTCCACTTGTGGTGGTAGCCAAAACTCCCTCGGCACCCCTTACAAACAGTAGTGGTAGTAAAAGTTGGCACTTAAGTTCTGAAAAAAGAGTAGAGACAGTTGAGCATGCACGGAGATTAAAAAGGTTGCGCAAAGTTGGGGATTGTGGAAAAGATAAGAGCTCAAAAGGCATGAAGGAAAATTATTTTGTCTCTGTAGCAAAGCGTGCCGAATCTTTTTCTGGTGCTAGTCGTATTCAAACAAAGCCTGGTAGAGGTAATATATGTCACACGTGAAATTTTTTGTTATTTCCAGTGCAGGGATTTTTCAGTTTGACTTCTGCTTTTCCCCTGATTGAGTAGTTTTATCTTATGCTTTGCTGGATTTGAAGCCTAATTACTTTTAGAGCTTTATCAAGTTATAGAATGTCAAGAAAAAAAATTTATATACAGCTTGTTGATAAGGCCTGTTACCTATTGTTGTTTTCAGGTAAAAAGAAGCCAGTGAATGATGTCAGAACGTTCATCGATGAGGAAGCAGAGTAAGTCCAATGCTCCACTGTTTTTTCATTTTTCAGAAAAAAAAAGAAAAGGAACAGTTGCTAACTTTTGACAGTGGCACACCAGAGGAAAGGCTTTCATACTTAAGTTTGTTCTTTCACATAATTATACCACGAAATTCCACTAGATGAAAAATGGATATTAGATTTCCATATCAAAAGCTATTTGAGTATGCATTTTTTTTTATTAAATGTCTTCCATTATGGCCGGTTAATTAGTATTTCATATATTTATTAATCTTTTGTTCAGGGTGTCTACGGAAGCCGAAATCTCTAGTGAAGAAGATGATGAGAATGAATGGTATGATGATAGTTTCATAGATGACAGGATAAATCCTACTGCGGGCAGTACCCAGACCGAATCTGGTAGAGTTGACATGATGGCAATTTACAGGTAGCTGGCAGTTTTCTTTTCATTGTTTCTGCCATTATCTTAAACTCCCCATGGGGTTGCCAGCATTCACCCTTAAAAATTATTAAATATAATTATTTTAGTGTAGCAAGTACTTCATAACGGAACAGTCAGATTAGGCCTAAAATCTGCAAATTTTATACATCTTTTTGAGAAAATTTTTATTTATTTAAACTGAAATGGTACGATAAAACTGGCATTAGATATAAAGAGATGTATAAAGTAAGCCACTGAGCCTCTTTAAAGATGACATGAGCTTCAACGTGATGATGACACCAGGTTCAACGTGATTGTTTTTTTTTTTAACAAATAGTATTGTTATTTTCTTTCCTAGTCTACACGGTTATCCAATTTCCCAACCATGAATCCATCATGTATCTTCACTTGTAAGAAAATTATGAAAGGTCATACTTCTATTATCATTTCTCTTGGATTCTTTGATTCACATTTTGCCAAGTTGAAGCCTTAATGAACTAATTGCTATTTTATTGCAGGCGTTCCTTGCTTAGCCAATCACCAATGGTAAGGCAGCCAACTTCTGCTTTTAGTCCCGACCCTGTCGCTTCCACGAGCAAAGATAATGGAAGTGGGTGTTCCTCGGGTAAGACATTGTATTGTCTCCAGGTACCTCAACCCGAGTCCATAAATCAGCCTGAAAGGAAGCATATGGAATCGTATCAAATAGAGGAGAGGATCTCCTCGGTATCCATGCCTTGCAGAACTAATGATTCTGCAATAGAAAATGAGAGTATGCAAAGCAGAAAGCGAAAGTTGAGTTTGTTCCAGTTGGAGTCTATTCCTGCAATTAACTTAGACCAAGAATTCTCATCGCAATATGAGGTTGGAGGCAAAGAACTAAGAAAGGTTTCTCAGCAGCCTCAAGTCAGTGGTGATGATGATGATGATGATGATGATGATGATCAATTTTATGCAAGTCTTGATCTTGATGCTGTGGAGGCACAAGCTACCTTGCTTCTCAAAAACAAGTCATCGGAAACATCATTGGAGAAGCAAGAGACAATTGCTCAATCAAACCCGCAAAATGGTGGCCCTAAGGATTCTCCATCGTTTGATCTAGGGATATAGTAATTGAGGTAAAATAATTAACTACTCCGTGAAATTGCTCCTGGAAATATTAGTACATGGAAATGATTTATTTTGCATGATTATTATTATTATTTTATTATTTTTGGATCAGGATTTTGGAAGGTGTGGTGTAATCCCTATCCCATTCGGATAAAATATAGGGGTTTTCTATTGGGTACGGATAAAATTGATATCTCTAATGTAATCTATTGCACAGTTTGTATAGTTTTTGTGTTCAAAGGAGAAAGGGATGTATTTATGTATAAGAATGTCTAACCAAGAGTAACGATTTTATAATGTAAATTTCATGGCTGAGCATTTCTTCTTTGCCAGTATTTGACACTTTCCAAACTCAGTCTCCATTGTTTCACTTGTTTTCAACCATGCCTGTTATGCCCATAACATACCCTTTACAACTCTACTCAATATCCTACTAACATTACGAGCATTTGCTTTAATAATTCATGCATATCTCTTTGCTCAAAGACAATGTTTGAATTTTTTTTTTTCAAATTAAAAAAAAACACAAATTATTATCCATCGTGATAAGATTTAAATGAAGTTACTTGGTTGAAAGTCTTAAATTTTTTATTAAAAATAATAATGATAAATTAAATTGATAAATTGATATAATTGATAAGATTTAAATGAGGTTACTTGGTTGAAAGTCTTAAATTTTTTATTAAAAATGATTTATTAAAAATAATAATGATAAATTAAATTAATAAATTGATATAATTTAATGAGAAGATCAATATGTATAAATATTAAAAGTTTTATTTATAATTTAAATTTATTTAGTACTTATTCAATGTTAAAAATTTAGTTAAATTTTTTAATAAAAATACCTATTTAAAAATTTATCAAAAGTTTTCAAAAATTTACATACTAAATGTAAGTGACAACCATTTTTTTATATACAAAAAAGGGTGCAACCGGAAAATAGATAGAGAAATAAGTTACAATGCTAAGAGTTAAATATGATATTTTATTAAATGTCATTTTTTAAAGGTAGGATGTCAATAGGTAGGGTATAAGATGGATAAAATATTTTCCATCCTATCTTTGAATTTTTATATTATATTCATCTTGTATTTCAATTGGTATTTTAAATTTATCTTCATTTTATCTTTATGAGTATTTAATAAATACGAGTAATTTCAATACCTATAGCTTAAAAAAATAATAAAAAAATTATATTTTTTTAGCTTTTTTTATCTTACATTTATAAAAGTTTTTTTTATAAATATATATTAATATATTTTTTAAAAATAAAATATATTAATTCTAATTAATATAAAATAAAAAATTATATTATTTAATAAAAAATTTATTATATATATATATATATATATAAAGTATGAGCATGGGACAAATGCTATATTACCTGTCCCTATTCTTGTTTCATTCTTTATATTTAAATAAAAAATTTAAAATCATATTAATTCATATTCTAACATTTAATAACCATCCTCATATCCAATTGAGTGAAAAATCAAATTTTCTACTTAATATAAGTAAAATTAATATCTTTATTTAAAAATTAATATGTAAACCAATTAAGTTAAACTCAATATTCAAATAACAAAATCTTTTAATCTATTATTTTGAATTTTTTTATTTTGCTTTTGCTTTAATTACTTTTAGTAAAAAAATTTTCAAACTTCGCTTAAAAATTATAAATCAAGCTCGTTTGAAACAATAACAGGTCAAGATAAATTTTGTTGGAAGAGTAATATTTACTCTTATTTCAAAAGTTGGGATTGTTTGAAACTATAAAAAAGGAAATTGGAAATGTTTTTAAATAATTATCCTATAAACAAAGCATTACTTATTAGATTTAGCTTTTCTTTGTATTTCAGCAAATCGGTTTACTCGGTTATCATCAAGGATCTGAATTCTTAAAGCATCATTCCATTGAAAACCATTACACCGAACGCATTTAAACAAAGCTACTTCCTAGAAAGAGCAATAGAAAGTAAGATTTACCCAACCAAAGCCATCCAACAAGCATAACAACAATCTCTAAATTCCTAAAGGTTAATGGTTAAAAGACATTTTTACACGAGGCATGGCACCCAGAACCACAAGACTCACAACCAACAATAACAGTTAAATCTAGACGCGAAACCGTGATTAGGATGAAGAAAAAGGGGCCAGCAACAACTGACTAGCCTAAGCCTGACATGTATGACATGGCTCGCCGGAATTCTAGTGATTTGAGAGCGGAATCTGGGAAATGTTTTCCATCTGCTACCCATAATCCACCGGTATGGGGCAGTAAAATCTGAGGTTGACTGCCCACTTGGCCTTCTTCACCAGCTTTAGTGGATGAAAATTCTTTCTTTTTCTTCACAAATTCAAAGAACTCTGCAACTTGGTGTGCATACCTTCATCAAAGCCAGTTCAGGACCAAGTTAAATCTAAAGGAGCATGGGATATAATAGCTTTTCAAGCTAAAGACATGGACATAGAGACATTATATGAACAGATACATAACAAATACTACAAAATCCAACAACAAAATATAAATGAAGAAATGATAAGTATCTATTTATTTTTGAAAAGACAAGCAGGCTCAAACCAAGAAGGGCATGGAGCATTTACAAATAAAATCATGGTAGCATTAACTAGAGAGGTATCAGAAGTGAAGACAATGATGCACATGAAAATTTCTCTCTTTGCATGATGAAAGTGTAAGAAGAAACTCTACAAATCATGAAGCCAATCCTTTACACATTGTTACCGCTTGAGTGCTTCTAGTTTGATATTTTAGGACACATTTTCAAGTCCATTGTCCTTGTATTGATTTGATAGACAATAGGAGGCGTAGGTGCTCTCAATAAGATATAAGCAAAAGAGGTTTATATTGTCTAGCATAAACTGAAAATTGGTCTCACTAGTTTATCAGATTCCCACCTTTCCATTAAAAAAATGAATAAAATGCAAATTAAGGATCATTCTTGATTTAAACTAATAGCTTCAGGGTCAGGAGATGAAACAAAATAGAAACCAGCCATTCGCCATTGAAGGTCTTTTTTTTTTTAATTCATTTTTTGGATGAGCAAAGCTGATTCGACATTTGACCCAGGCTAGGTCCTAGTGATTGTTACCTCTCTTTAAGAGGGTTGAGGCTAAGGTACAAATCCCTTCTCCCCCATTATTCTTCCTCAAAAATACCCCCACCCCCCAAACCAGTAAAAGAATTTATACACCTATCAACACAGCATTTCAAATTGCATGTAAATATTCAGTTAACTGTTATCTGTTAAACAATATGATGAAAACTGAAAGTATTGTTATCTTACTGTCTCTTTGCTTCAATATCTCTGCTGAAATCAATGTTGGGTTCACAGTCAAGTACCAAAGCAGGAACCTGTTCATAAGAAAAGAACCTAAGATACAGTGGGAAGGAGGGAAGCAATCTAATTCCACACAAACGAAAACATCATACCTTTTGAATACTAGAATGCATATGATTACCCTCTAAATAGAACACTCGATCTCTGATATCAGGATGCAGAGAGCTATCCATTTGGAGGGGTAACTTACTAACAGACAGTACTCCATGATTTCCACTATCGAAAGGGAAAAGCCAACTCTCATGCTTTTCATGCAAGTCACGGAGATAATCTAGGCTCACCCCACCCTCTTCAGCTCTCTTTCGCAGCATCATCCTCTTATGGCATGTATCAGGACTTGCCCTTAGATAGATAAAACCATCAGGAATAAGCCCCGGCAAACATGATACAACTGGATCAAACCATGAGTCATAAATGCTGATCTCCATCTCATTCATCCAATTTGCTTCATGAACAGCTCGTACAAACACCTTAATTAAGTAAAAATGAGATAAAGTTATCAGCCTTGAAACTCTTAGGTCAGAGCTTTCTTCATCTTGATTGGAATGAACCAAAAGAAGAAAAGAACTGCAAGGATTAAAATCCAATGACTTTAGTCATTGTCAAACTGAAAAATCCATAGGAACTTCTAAAATCCTTTTTTTTTTTTTTTTCATTTTGGGTCAAACCTATTTTAAAATCCTGAAAGGATAAAAACCTATATTAATGAAAACTTCTGGATATGCAGAACATGACAACCACAAAGTGAAACTCTATTATCATCATAACCTACAGAAAAAAAAATAAAAGTAATAACAAGAAACAGCTATTCAGTGCTTACCATCCTGTCACTGAAAACGCTCCTTTCCATCAACCTAAGCGGCTTAATTCCACCAGATGACTCTCTCTCCTGCATAACCCTTGTAACAAAGACATAATTTTGAAAGGTATAGGCATACCTCTGTGGTTCAGCATAAAATGCATCTAAGATATTGAAATGGTCAGGTCCAATATCCTGCCACTTATCAATGGGTTCTGGAACAATTTCAACAAGATCTTGTAGCTCCAGTGTTTCATTAGCTATTCTCTGAAGGAATGTTGTCTTTCCAACACTGATATTCCCTTCAACACAGAATGTTAACCGTTTCTTTACAGCTGGTTTTACATCAGAGTTTGAATCCTTCAGTTCTTCATCCACGCTCTCCTTAATAAAAGTTGTTATACTCTCAGCATGATTTCTGTGGATAATCCCAACAGAACTTTGCAAATACTCAACCATCTTCTGACTAGCCTTTCCAAAAAACTGCAAAAGAAGTAAAGCCAATTCAGCAAACAATCTCATCGAAGCATCACAGATAAAACTGCAGTTTCCTCAATGCATATGAAAACATAAGTTTGCACATGACTTTTTCAACCAATCTACTCAAAACTCTAGTCTTCACGTTCAGGGACTCAACCATAACAACCATTTGGACCATTTTGGATACAGATTGGGCTTCCCTCCTTTACTTTTCTTTTTGTCCATGACTTTCTAATACACCCATCATCACCATTCACACAAGCAGATCCCACTCATTAATTGTGGATGTTATACCGGTGAATTGTAATTAAAAGTGTATTGGAAAGTAAAGGAAGGGAGTTGAACCCTTTAAACACGGTTGTTTAACCTTAGGCACATTTTGGTCCTGGAAAATGAGAATGCAAACTTCATTTCTTAGTAGAGAGGCATGCTTGGAAATTACTTTCAGAAAAGAAAATAGTCATATCAAAAACCAATTTATAATTGCTCTTCCTATTGCAAGCACATTAACAAACAACAAATTCCATCAGCGGCATCTTCAAGTTTTATCCAATAACTACACATTCTGGGAAGAAAAATCTTGGAAGCTATAAAGAGTCAGATATGTGTAACGGAGACATGAATCCACACAGTAAAGTAGATGATAAGATATTCAATACATAAGAGCTGTAAAAATACATCCATTTTCTGAAATACTTTAAGGAGGAATAAAAAGACCACCCATTACCTGCAATACTGTAAACCAGCAAATGAAATTAAAAATAATAATAATAACAAAAAAAAGCAAATCCCATTTCAGAGATGGTGGAATATAACCAACAAACTCTTATTTTCATGCCTCTAAAAAGCTAAATACTTTAACCAAAAGGACTTTTTAACGCAATAAAAGCCTATATTTATCTCAATCTTCGACATACCAGCTTGAGAAACAAAACACAAAATTTGTATAAGAAAAGAAAACCTTATCCTTGTACAATTGCTTGAGTTCAGCAACACCTTGAATCCCATTCTCGACAAGCTTCCTCAAATTTCTAGGTCCCACACCTGGAATCGTCAACAAATCCGGACTCCCAACTAAAACCCCTGACCCCTTTTGCCTTCTATTCAACCTTATCGGCTTCTCTTCCTCTTCATTGCCTTCATTTTCACCCAAACTCTTGGACTCTTGAATCGGACCGAACTGCTCCTCCGGCCCAGCCGAATGGCACCAAGCCGGCCGAACCCCAACCCTCCCAGGCCAAGCCCGCAGACAGGTGCTTGGATTTAAACTGGGTCGGTAAAGAGAGCAAGTAGCAGTGGTGTAAAAGCGGCGGTAAAAGGAAGGGTTTTTGGTGGTGAGAGCGACGACGGCTGAGCCGCAAGCTGAGCCAGTGACAGTGGCAGTGGGCATAGTAAAAGGGGTACTTGTAGGAAAGGAGAAAGGAAGAGAGAGAGAAAGAGAAAGAAAACGAAGAGAGGGATTAAGGGGACAGCCAGAAGGGCTTCTTCTTCTTCTTATCAGTTTCTGCATCCTTCAAACGCATTTCACAGTTTTTCTTTGTTTGGTGTTTGGGTTTCGTCGAATTGAAGAGCAAAACGAAGAGAAAGGGGCGCTGAAGAGGAGAAGAGGCGGGAAGAAGAAGAAGAAAAAAAAGGGTTTTGCTTTGGCAGTTGTTGCTTCTGCAAGCTGTAAACACATTTTTAAGCAGGGTTTTTCGCTTCATTATTGTTAGGGTTTTCTTTTTTTAATTTTTAATTTTTGGATTTTTTAGACTTTGTCTTTCATATATTTTAATGAAAATTTTAAATTTTATAAACAAATTTTTAAATATATATGATAATATAAAAGTATTTGCATTTTATTTATTTTATATTAAATATGTATAAAATATAAATATTATTATATTATAATTCACCTAAAATATTAAATAAAAATTATTTTTATTTTTTAAATTTATATATAACTTTTATAAATTTTAAAATTTTATATAAAACTTAAAATTATCATATTTATATGATAATAATCTTTTAATTTCATTTTTACTAATATTAGTAGATGAGATTTCTTTTTTGTCAAAGAAAGTTTAAGAATAGAGAAAATTATTTTATTTTTAAAATTAAGATAAATCTTTAACTCAAAAAAATTTAAAAATTTTTTTAAAAAATTTTTGACTAACAAATCATTTATTAGTAAAAGATTATAAATGTTTAAATCTAAAATACTTTATATCCAAATTTTAAATTTTAATTACTTGCGTTAACCTCCATTGACAGATAAGATTTATTTATTTTACAGAAAAAATTATTTTTAAATTAAAGGATTTAAGGGCGTTTTTGTTCTTTTGGGTTTGGGAGAATGTGCCGCTAAAAAGCGGTTGGGCAGAGGAGAGTATGTAGCATTGTTTGACGAAAAGACAGATTTTAAGAGAATTGTTTCCAGCTGGACACGTCATCATCACTTAAATTTTCTTGACTTTGATTGTGACACGTCATATGCCCTTAATTATTTTTCATATTTTTTTTCTCTCTTCATAATTGTAATATTTTGATTTGGCCTTGTCTATCACCTATTTCATGTTATTTTATTTTTATAATTTTTTAAAATGATGCATGTCTCCGCTATTTTTTACTTTTTATGCAGTTAATAGAGTTGGCAAATGATCTTAAATATGAAAGATTCATCTAAATTTGAATCTCAGTTAGGTCTTATTTGATAACGCATCCAAAAAATTTAATGCGTTGAAAATAAAATTTTTTAATGCATTTGATAATATATTTTAAAATTAACTTTTTTAATAAAAATATTGAATAAGATAAATAAATAAAAATTACTTATCACTTAATGCAAAAAACATTCAATAAATCTTCTTTTAAAATATTTCGAATTATTATCCTTTAAAAATACTATTTCATTATCTGCAATAAAATTAAAGGTATAAATTTAAAATGATAAATTAGCAAAATTCAATATTTTCCTATTATAAGAATATATATTTATATTTTAACATTCAATTTTCAATAAATATCAAACAGTCTTTATTAAATTAAATACTTAACTTTTTCATTTATAAATAAAATTTTAATTCAATTTAATTTCATGAAAATAAATCAATTAGATATCTAACCTTAAAAATAAAATTTTACTCTTATTTAATGAGAAATTCACTTTTTACCCAAATAAAAATAAATTATGAATATTATATTGTGAAGATACGTATGAGTATAACTTTAAATTTTTTATTTGATACGAAAAATAAATATAGGTAATATAATATTCATCTTATACTTGCACTTTTATTTTACGTGTATATATAATTATATATTTAGTAAATAAATTTTAAATTAATTAAAATTAATATATTTTTATTTGAAATATATTAATATTTATTCATAAAAAATGTATATAAATATAAAAGATAAAAATAAAAAAAGCTAAAGTTTTGTTTTATTTTTATTTATTTTAAAAAATTATGGGTATGGGATTACTTATAACTATTAAATACCGTAAAAATATAAATATATTTAAAATATTTATTGAATATAAATAGAGAATAGATATAATATAAAAATCTAAATATAAGGTGTACAACTTTTTGATACTATAATTCGTTTATATAATTTTTTTTCTTTATTTCTATTTAATGTTCGAATTGTTAACACTTGTTTCAATAATTGGGCTTCTTGGGCTTCGCTCTAAGTTGGATCTAAATATCACCCATGGTTTGTATTTCTGTTATAAGTGTTACTTTTATTTTATTGCGTGGTAAAAATAATTTTCACCGTGTCTAATTACTGTTTATAAATAAAACTATAAAGGTTTAGTGAACAAAAACGTATGTATGGTATTATAAAAGTTCTTTCATCACGTATTTAAATAAATTATAAAATAAACTATGCTTTAATGTCTCATACTTTTTAATAAACATTTATTTTTAGTTCCCAAAGTAAGTTCCTTTGGTTAATATTTTTAGTATTTTTTTTCCTTTTGCAAAAATATAATAAAAAAAAAAACAAATAGCAAAAGTATTAATTAAACCAATGGTCTTAATTTATAAATAATAATTAACTTTTTCAATAGTGTTTCATTTTGTGTCTAAGATCTCTTTAAATTGTTAATGATGGACTTAATATTAATTAACTTGGCTAAAATATACAAAATTGTCCAATTGTCAAAAGATTCATTGGTGAAAATATATTTCTTTCATTTACCATTTAACTTTTTAATAAGGATTAAAGTGTAATGATATGAAAATATTGGATAACTATGTAGAGCAACTAAAAAGTTAGGAATCAAATAGGAAATTTCAATTGGAAATTTTGATGAAAATGTTTGCAGCTGATATCAGAGGGAGGACTTGAGCTGCTATCAGCAACTTTTATATTCAGTTTTCTTGCAAGTTACTATCTATTTTCTGTTATTTACATGAACTTCTGAAAAAAAAAAAATCCAAGTGGTGTACTTGGTTTTCTCTCCATGTGAAGCTTGATTATTTTCTAGCGATATTAATTAAACTAATTTGTAACTCGTGCGATACACAGATTATTTTTATTTTATTTAAATATTAATAAAAATATAAATTAATATTATTTAATTATTTACATGTTGAAAATATATATAATATAAATATAATTAAGATATTAAATCATAATAAAAATAATTTTTATTTAAAAATTTGATAAAATTTAAAATACGATAAATAATATCGAGAAAAAAAAAAGATAAAAATTAAATTGAATTTCAATTTATCTCAATTTTTTTATAAGTAAAATTAGTGTTATGACTTTGACGAGGAGGAAGTATAGAAAATTACAAATTTTTATACAAAGTAATAATTAATGGGTCATTTATGTTATATATAATTTGATACTTTATTGTTTGGTTACTATTAATTATCAAATTACTACTCAATTTGTAGAACAAATGACATTGATATAAAAGTAACTAAATATAAAAAAGAAGTCCTTAGTCCTTCACTCTTATCTTAGACAATTGAATCTCTATTTCTTCCTGTGAATCATCCAAAACAAAACACAAATCAACTAAGTATTTCATAGACATATAAACAATATAGTTACAAATTACTATTTTTCTATAAAAAAAAATGATGGGTGACTATTACTGTGTGAAACAATAAAAAATTTTTATTGACGGCTTTCATTGTTATTTCATATGTAGAGTTGGAAATAGTAACAATAAAATAATGGATAATTGTGACTGTGATTGAATTTTTAAAATAATTTAATGGTAAGGAAATTAAAAAATAAAACTTGTCTTTTAAATTCAAAATAATAAAAGATAAATCTAATCAATTTTAGTGGAGATATGTATTTAAAATTTATGATGCATATAAATAAATAAATATATTCTTAAAATTTTGCTAAATTTAAAAAGAAAGATAAATTCTAAATTTGATATTTTTGAATTCAAATTTTGTACAAATTTTCAATTTTTCATAGATTTTCATTTTGGATTTAAATAATTTATTAAATGTAATTATTTTGTAAATCAATTTTAGAGATAATATATCTATGAAATTTGTAAATTTAAAAAGATATATATATATATATTTAGATTATTAGAAAATCCTAAAAAAATAATATATCTAAATTAGATTTTGTTACTAATTTAAAAATTATCCATATAGATTTATATATATTTGGATGATTAAATAATATATAAAAAGTGGTCATTCATTTAAATTTTGAAAATTTTAGATAATTAAATAAAATTTAAATATATATTTTTTATAAATGGTCTAAAATTAAGAAATATCTTAGGTATCATTATAGAGAAATTTAAAATTTTGCTTATGTGTCAAAAAAAGAAATCATCTACCAAAACATCCACATTAATTTTTACTGTGTTAACTTTATATGTTATAACATATATATATATATATATATATATTAGATTGGTGCTAGTTTGAATTCTTCCTACTACCTCTATATGTTTTATAGAAAATGAAAATTGTTAATTAATAAGAGTAAAATTGGCTTTGGCCTTAGCATTAGCTCAAACACTAGATAATTCTATAAGGTTGGTTATTTCACTTTCAAAATTTACAAACTCAAAAGAAGTAGAAATGTTGAATTGCCTTAATTTTGCTTTAAAATAAGTTTCAAATGCAATTAAGATGATAGTAGATTTTCAATACTAAAAAGAAAACCTATTCGAATTACATCACATAATTCTTTTATAAATTGGTGGCTGTACAGAGACTTGCATATGATTTTATTTCAAGTTGCTTATTCTTGGTTGTTGGGAGGATTGGTTCAAGTACATATTTGATCATTCAAATGGTTGAATTTGTTTTTGAGTTTGATAAAAAAAAGTCATCTTATTGATCTTTTGCTTGCACATAGGTAGGGGTGAGCATATATCGATTCTAACCGATTTAACCGACTGAAATTATGAAATACGGTCATTTCGGTTCGGTTTAATCGATTTTCGATTATAATCGATTTTAAGATCGATTAAATTAGTTAAATCGATCGGTTATCGATTTTTAAAATTGATAATCGAATTAACCGATCTTATAATAACTAAGGGTAAATATGTAAATTCTCTTAAAAAAACCTAAATTTAACTTACCTTTTTAACTCATCCACCCACGCCGTTTTTCCCTTTCTGCTCTTTGCTCCTCCTCTGTTGTAGCTTACCGTGTCTCTACCCTTTGCAGTTTGCTCTCCTTCAATCTCTTGCATCTTTACCTCCCTCTTACTCTCTTGCTTGGCTACTTGCCTCATAATCTCT